CAAATGTAGCTTTAGTTGCTCGACTTCTCCTGTGCCTGCTTTGTTCGTCGAAAGTTGACGCATTCGAGATGGCTCAAGCTCCGATTTCCTCTGTTTTTGCGTGTGTCTACTCAGGTCCACCTCCAACCCTTAAGGTTGTCTCCTCGGGTCGATTCAAATGCGCTTGCGGAGAGAATGGCTGCACTCACTCCGGGCATGGTAAACTCAGTTTTTTTTTTCACGTATTTGGTCTCCCATCGTATGCTTCCCTTCTCCTGTTTCTCCTCCTTCCTGTCCATTCTCCGTCTCCTCTCCTCGTCCATGACCCCCTATCCTCTTAGTTTTACTCTTTCCATCTCCCATTTTCCTGTGGCTTCACTGCCTATGTAGTGTACGGTGTCTGTGCATGTGTTTTCATATCCGTCTCCGCGCATGCCTGCATGCATGTGCTTGCACATTCGTGCAGACGGCTACAGTTTATAAGTGCGTAGAATGTGAAAATGACTCTCTGTGGGTGCATCTGTGGCTTTGAACCACAGATGCGTGTTGGATATGTAAATGCTTTTCCTTTGCATTTTTGTGTAGGCACACGTATGCTCATTTAAGCGGTTGGATTGAGTGTTTAGATGGGTGGACATTGATTGCACTATTGGGGGTTTTAGTGTACGCTGGATATTCAGTTTTGCTTGATTTTTTTCTTGTGCATTGTGTTTGTCTTCCACTTCATAGTAAAGTCACCTTCGTTTTTATTTTGAAATTGGCGTCTGATTTTTTCATTTCTAGGTCGGCGCTGACATCGCAAACATCTGCAATGAGGCGGCAATATATGCAGCGAGGAGGCGAACAAAACGAGGCATTGAGCAGCGGGTACAGATTGTATAGCCTAATTGCACAATTCCAAGCGCACGTTACGAACATGACAGGAAGGCAGACTGACAGAGAAGCGTGCACCCTTACACATAAAAAGAAAGGGCTTCAGGCTTAGGTAGAGTTCAAGTGCTTGAGCGCAGGACTTCGAGTTGGCCGTCGAGCGTATAATCGCGGGTCTCCCCTCCAACACAAAAAACCTCATGTCAGAGAAGCAAAAGAAGACGATCGCTCTTCATGAGGCAGGACATGCTGTGGCGGGATGGTTTTTGAANTCATCTGGCTTGCATAGTTATCACTCCTTCAGTATGTATGTGCATATATCAACGCATTCTTGGATGCGTCTATCTGTTCATCCATCTCTCGTAGTTCTTTGCTTGGCATTCACGTCACGTCGTTCCTACGAATATATGCGTCGGTTGGCTTTTTTCACTTTTGCTATATATCATCGTTGTTGCTTCTGCTATTAAGCTCAGCTGCATCTTTCTTCTCCCCTCCACAGAAGTAGATCAGCGTGTGTAGATGCGTGTAAACTTGTGTGAAGTGTCTGCTTTACTGCTTTTTTTCTCTGTGCTTGCGTAGACGTAGTGCTCAAGCTGACGGTCATCCCGCGAGACAGCGGAGCAATGGGATTTAGTCAGCAAATGCCGCCTCCTGTGGAACTTTATGAGAAGGACGCCCTTTTAGACAGAATTGCTGTCTGCCTTGCTGGGAGAGCTGCAGAGGAGCTTTTTATGGGGTGCATATCCAGTGGTGAGTAAAGGGAGACCAGCGGGTGTTTCAGTTAGGCTTTCTTAGGGGCTTCTTCAGTCTCTGTCAAAGATGATGGTACGAAAGCAGCCAACTCACGAGCAAACCTTATGCGAACGCTATAGTGTGTTGGAGGAAGTCAGGTTTTGAGTGAAAAGTTATTTTGCGTTTTTTCACGGCATCGGTCTTCAGGCGCCATTGATGACATTGAGAAGGCCACTCATCTGGCCCGTTTAATAATTATGCAGCTAGGAATGAATCCGAAGATCGGCTTGGTCAACTTGAGGCGGACTCGACAGAGCCCGCAGGAGCCTTATCAGCTTTTCTCAGACGCCACAGCGCAGGTGAGCAGATTGGAACAACTCCGTGCTAGATGGTGCACGACACGATCCACGTAATGAATGTACTGCATTTCCTCATG